CGAAATAGGACTTGCATTAGCATTGACACCTCCCGAACTCGAAGAGATGAGGAATAAAAATGAAGGATTGGTGAAAGTGTTTGAAGTATGGGAAGAAATGGGTACTCGGCCGTTTACATGGTTTACTTTATTGAGTGTTTTGAGATCAGCTGATGTTGATGAGTATGAATTAGCTGATGAGTTATCTAAACTATAATTGTTATTTTTGGGAATTGTATTGTGTGTGACAGTTTAAATAAACCATTCGTGATGTCTTTCAATGTTTATCTTTTAAACAATAACTGAGAGCCCTAATTCACTTTTGCTTTTAATTTTACCGTAAAATTAATAACTATTAATAATGCCTGAATTAATAACCACGTTTATAGTTAAGTAACTATTAAATTTCCTTATGCTCTGTATCAAGGTGGATTTATTGTGATCTGGTAACTCTTGGAAGGAGTCACTAAAAATATAATGTGGATGCAATGTGAGTGATAGTAATAATAAATAAATATGGACAATAATAATAATAATAATAAGTAATAAATGAGCCACGCCCACTGACACACCTCTATGTTCACTTTTTGTTTAGCCTGGCTGGCTTCAACTTTGCATAATGCCTTAAGTATACACAATTTGAAGTATATACAGTTTAATTCTTTATGGATGTTTTAGAAGGGCACCATGATAAACTTGGGGGAAAAATGTACATTTAAAATAATTAACTGTGGCAACTTTGAAAATTTCTAAAAATTCTATTTTTAATTGGAATCAGCTCAAATTTGATATACATCATAAGTACATGTATATGCATCAGAAAAATTATTATTATATAAATGCAGAACTCTCTCCTAGTCATTTTTGATGAAATTTGGCCAATTAAATTACCCTGTACTATAAATAATAATTTTCAAAAAATGACTCCAAAATTATCCCAAAGTTTTAATAAATTTTCTGATAGATATTGATGTCCTTATGCTGTGTAAAAATTTTGAGTCCGGTGGCTATTTTAAGAAAACGCCAAAATTTTGAAAAATACCCAAGGCTATAGTCTTGGGTATATTCCAAAAAATGGCTTCGAAATCACCCCAAAGTTTTATTAAATTTTCTAATGCATATTGATGTCCTTATGCTGTGTAGAAAGTTTGAGCTAATTCCGACTTCAATTTTTCTAGTTATGGCGATTTTAAGAAAATGCCAAAATTCTGAAAAATATCCAAGGCTATAAGCCTTATGTATTTTCCAAAAAATGGCTCCAAATTCACTGCAAATTTTATTACAACATCTGATACATATCAATGTCCTTATGCTGTGTAGAAAGTTTGAGCTGATTCTGGCTAATTTTTTTTGAGTTAAGGCCATGTTTTAAAAAGTACTGGGACTTTCTTAGCCCAATTTTTAATTTTTTGAGTAACTTTAAAATTCATTAAAATCCAATATTTATTGAAATCAGCTCAAACTTGGCATACAACATAAGTACATGTATAGGAAAAAAATTATAAAAATGGAAGTTTTTTCTCGTCATTTTTATATACTATATACATGCAGCAGGATAGCATTTGCTGCCCTGATTTGAGAATTGGTTATTACTATTACTATGGCTGCTGTATGGCATAGGGACATTGGATGATATTCCTGTATGTCTCTGCTCATATTAGAATATTATGTGGTGTTGTCTCAACACCATGGTAACAGCATGCAATCTAATTTTGTGGTTACAGGTGTCACTACTGTACACGTATTAATATACTTAAGTACTAGCATATTTTTGATATTATTTTGCTGCATAGTGCATAGCAATAATTATTATTAGCACTTTTAAAGGATTCTGTGTACACATCTTGTGTAGGGGTGTCAAATTTCATAGTAACATGCGTTAATTATTTTTTGTATATTGAAGTTATGTCAAAGACGAAAGTTGTTTGTCGTTTCTTTTTTATTTATTTAAAACTTGTCATGTGTTTAAAATTAAAAGAGTAAGATTAATTCCCTCATGAGATTATGCACTTAACACATTTTGAATTCAATAGATATTAATGGACTCATTGGGCCTTGTACTAATGATCATACACTCCACGTTGTCTTTATACTAATACTCTTGGCTCTATGTATTGTAATTTTGAATGCTGTGTTGTTGTACTCTACCAATTACGGTATTGTGTCTTTTAATTCATTGTCTCTATGCATGTCATAAAGTATTAGCTAGTCGCATTCACCTTATTGGTAATATTTAGCTGCAGCATATTTGAATGTAATAAAAAAATTTTTAATAAAGCAGCATAATAATAATAATAATAATAATTGTAATTTTATTATTAAAATAATAGTCATTTTCCATTGTTAGGATTGATATTTATTGAGCAAATGGACCAGCTGTTTCTTGCTGTAGAGCCAATTCTCTCTTTTGATGGTCTTCAGCTAAACCTGTAGAAGGCTTGTCTTCTGCAACCCTGTCTTCTTCAATTACTCCTGGTATTCCTGGAGGAATCATTGTTCCTGGACCAGCTACCCCTGGAGGTGCTAGACGTTGTTCCTCAATCAATTCTCTCTTATGAAGATGTCCTTCAACTTCTCCTGCTATCCCTGGAGGTGCTAGACGTTGTTCCTCAATCAATTCTCTCTTATCAAGATGTCCTTCAACTTCTCCTGCTATCCCTGGAGGTGCTAAACGATGTTCCTCAATCAATTCTCTCTTATGAAGATGTCCTTCAACTTCTCCTGCTACCCCTGGAGGTGCTAGACGTTGTTCCTCAATCAATTCTCTCTCATGAAGATGTCCTTCATCTGGTCCTAGTATTCCATGGAGTAATGGTTTATCTGCATCTGGTATAGGGCCAGCATATACTACTGCAGAGGATATTAGAGCAACAATCAGAAATATAGAGAGTGGAGACTGCATCATCTCTATCCTGAAATGACAAAAATGATGTGAGTTTTGTAATTTTATTAACCACAGGTGTGATAAACTTTAATAACTATTTATTTAATAACTATACTACAATTAACTATACTATGATTTAATTAATAACTCTACTATGCATTTAATAAATTATTTGAGTTTGTTGAGGATGAAGCATACACCAATAATCAAAATTGTCCTTTTTTTAGTGTAATAGTAATTGTGTAATGTTATTTGTGAATTTTACTGTTATGTTCATTGTTTTTAGGATATGGTACGGCATAATAAAACTAATGAATAAGATGATAGCACTTTGTAATAGTTTGAGTCATAAAAGCAGATTTATCTGCAGAGGAATATATTGGTGGACTAATTTATGGAAATATAGGTAGAAATAATAATGGTATTAATTATTAATAATATAATTTTGGTGGATTCATCAGTCAAAAATTGAATAGCCATTTTTATATTTATAATTTTGAAGCCATTTGTCATCAGATAATTTGCCAGTTGTTATGAAATTTTTGCCTAACTCCAACTGGAGCTATTTTGTGTATGATAAAGCAGCAACATGCCAAGTCATCATTGATTTCGTGGGAGTAGACAGTATCATTACAGGGGTTGAGACACCAATCTAAAAGTGGGGGGGCTTATTTTTTAAACCAATGTACATTCATTAATTTAATTATATTTAAAATGATCCAAAGAACTTAGTGCGTTCATCAGTTACACTAATATACTCCTTAGCAATTAATACTAAGTCGTAATTTATCAGTAATTTCCTTATGTATATGTAATAGTAAGCAATTGTTTAAAGTTTTTTCAGTCATTCTTGATCTTGTTGATGTTAGCAGTCTCTTTAAATAAATTTTAACTAAATTTCTGGGAATAAACTCTGTTTACATAGGCTCACATGTACATGTGCTTACCATCATGGCCATAGGCATGCAGCATGTGGCATACATGAGGCACACACATGCACACTTCATGCTGCAAGTAGTGTGTCACATTATTGTTTACATTGCCTCATTTGTATGGTGATAATCATCAGAGATTATAGAGATGTGTGATGCATACTGCATGCATGTAGTGGATTATATTATAATTAACATTTAATGCTTTTTGAAAATAATTCATGCTGTAGTTGATCACGTAAGTTTTGTGTTTGACTACTCCTTTTTCCATTGAATGGGCTATAGTGGCTAGATATATATATTAATATGCTTAAAAGAAGACTGCTTTATTGATGCTATATTGTCTCATACAATAGAGTTTTGACTGGATTAAATCATGATAGAATTAGCCTTCATCTCTCTCTCTCTCTCTCTCTCTCTCTCTCTCTCTCTCTCTCTCAACCATGCTCACATCAAAATTGTTGTCAGTGTGTAATCTGTTTTATTAACAATTTTTACATAATTTTCAATTACTTATATGCATTTTTGTGATGCTATTTTTGTGGCAAGTTTCACATTTATTATATACGCATACTGTGTGTATATATATATATACAGCTACTACCTTGCTTACTTTAGAATCAACAGGTCTATGCACTGTGCATTTTGTGTCTGAATTATAGGCAGGCTTGTTCTATAACTATAGTTTACCATATAGATAGCTCCAAATTTTTGTCGGTCAAAATTTTTGTCAAATTTGTCAGGTACTTTTGCTTGACGAAATTTTTAAGCAACGAAATTTTTAAGCAACGAAATTTTTATTCCACGTGGGTAGCATGTGGATTAATAACAAAAATGACGAAAATTTTATTGACAAAAATTAATTTTAACAAGAAATTAAGATTTTGACGAAATTTTTGACTGACAAAAATTTGGAGCTATACAGTATACACTGAGGTAGAGGTTTCTGAGCAACGCAGTCATGAGGTTAACAAATATGTCATAAAAACCAATACTGAGGTGTGTACCAACTTCTACCATGACATTTGAAAATAACAACCAGCTGCTGATAATAAGACCACAGTTGAGATCTAACAGGCGCTAGGCTAGTAAAGAATCAATCAAGCTTGACAAAATAGACTGATAATAATACAACATATGCATAGAGTGCCATTTACTTTAATGAGCTAGGTTTATAATTTTACGAGCTAGGCTAATATAAAAAAATAACTGACATACAATACTACAATTTCATTGGTCAATTGCAAGTAGGCATGGTAGAAATTAATACACTTACATGTAAGTAGTTCCATTGTCCAGTCGTTGAATTGGTCAGCCGTACAAGAGAAGTGGTTGTGTGCGTGCAACTGAGCTGTATGTAAATTCACGGTATCTTTATGTAAATTTATGGTATCTTTATCACTATCTCATGAGAGTGTGTGGAGTGGAGGAGTACAGTGGTGTGATTGTTAGCATATCACTACTGTGAGCATAGCATGCCAGCTGTTATGATTAAATTTGGTGATTTCACATGTTTGTCAAAGCTTTACCAGAAAAGAAGCATGCATGTAAAAACAATGGTTGCTGTATAGTAATGCCTATTGCTGACAATCAGTGACTACTTTAGGTATTTGGTACTGGCCCCTAGAATAGAACAGCTTTCTATTTTGAGCATCATGCATGTTACATACTATGTCTTATTTAGCACTCTAATTGTAGACTTCATGAAAGTCCATGACTGTATTTATGCAATCATTCCATGTTGACACTCTATTTTGTTTATATTATAGAGTCTTATATGTTACTAAGGATGCATTAGATCTTATACTACAGTATTAGGATATTAGGATCCACTACAGCTACAACTCTTGTATCTCCAGTCCAGTAACCACTCACTCACCCTCTCTTTGTTATATGAACAAAGAGAGGGTGGGTTATGCTAACAGGAGAGTTCATATGAAAAAGAGCCGGAACTTGGAGTTGTTTACTTAAAATATGATATCATTTAATGCGTAGTTCACATGAAGAAGAGCCGGAACTCAGAATTGTTAATGTATTATATCATTTAATGAGTAGTTTATATGAAAAAGAGCAGGAACTCAGAATTGTTTGCTCAAAGTATGATATCATTTAATGGGTAGTAGTTCATATGAAAAAGAGCAGGATGATATCATTCAATGTGTATAGACCTTTCCCACCAATGCAGCGTTTATCAATGAATATCATTAACGAGCCGCCCATGTCGTGAGATAGATATACAGAGATGAATGGGGAAAAATTACTTTTTTAATTTTCCTTTTTAATGCAAGCTCTGATTTACACAGAAATGCTCACTGCACATTTGTTGTATAATTCTACTTAATGTGCTTATCATACTGTAATTTTGTGTTTGCTTTCACATAAAAAATAGTGTTTTTTGCTCATTCATCTCTGTACATTTATCCCAAAACATAATTCTACTTAATGTGCTTATCATACTGCAATTTTGTCTTTGCTTTCACATAAAAATAGTGTTTTTTTGCTCATTCATCTCTGTACATCTATCCCACAACATAGCAGCTCGTTAATAATATTCATTGCTAATCACACAGTGGTGGGAAAGGTCTATAGGTTGGCTCTCATGCATCATGAATGATGAGCTATTGATCTCTGATTGTAATGTGATAGGACAATGTTATTGTTTGTTACTCAGTGAACAGCATCATTCCTGAATAGGGCGAGGCAAATTATGCTTCTAATATGATTAAGTACTGCCCCAAATTCCATCCTATTATGCTTTGAAATGAATCCAGTTATGCTCATTATTATGCTCATAGTTTAAGTTTTACTCAAATATCAACTATACTAACATGGACATGCATCTGTTATAATTGCAATATTGTCACTAATAATATCAACTATACTAACATGGACATGCATCTGTTATAATTGCAATATTGTCACTAATAAAATAATAATGCCAGAATCTGAAAATGTTTGAATCACTGCAAAATAGAACAACCTAACTCATTAGACTTGCCACATTTGAGTAGGTGGGTATTAAGCAGTCGGGTTGTTGTTCTAGTACTTGTACCACTTGCCATATTGAATTGAAATTGTGTGATCATGGGTATAAAGCTAGAAATTTTTGACCCATTATGCCAGCATGATAACTTGCTCTATTATGCTCCAAGTTATGCTAGCATAATTTGCCTAGCCTTAATCCTTTATGCTACACAATTGCATTAATACTCACCTACACAATTACAATGACACTCGCCTACACTTTGAGTCCAATACTGCAGGCACTGTCACCTCAGTTGGCATAGACAGGATGCGAGGAAATTATTTTAAGGGAATAATAGCTAACCATGGGATAAATGTGATAGTACTCCCACGAAAGGTGTGTAATTTTGATATGGTTATTATTACAACCTTATCATTACCAACCTTTATAGGCTTTATCAGCCTTATGCAACTACATGTGCCAATCTTAAAAACTTTAGTTGATTGTGCTTCATTTTAAATAATGTGTTGTTCTATCTACCAATTATTATGTAATTTTAATTTGCCGTCTCCATGCATGTGATAAAGTATAAAGCATATTTAAATTAGTGTTGTTTTCTTTACAACTAGAACTAAGATGTCATTTAGTTCCATTATTTTTAGCTAGTTATAGTTTCAAGAATGAAAACTATAGGCCTTTATACAGGCTAGCACTTCTAATGTGCATTGAACCAGTTTAACACTGGTTTCAGTCATTCTATATCTGATGCAATTTGGCTTTAATGCCATTATGTCAAACCACCTCCATAAGAGGTTTAAATGCTGGATCGGCAGAAATACTATCAAAATATATAAGATCTTCAAGATAGTGTGGAATCATTCGATGAACATTGAAGTACATCAGTTCTGAACTAGTTTCAAATTGCACTGCAAGTGTAGAAAGTTCTTAAAGCTTTCTAGCTATAGAACTATAACTATAACTGATAGCTAACTCTTCTTTGTACTATAATTATAACTAGAACTATTTGTAAATTGATGTTGGTCTACATAAAATATTGCCAACTACCTTGATTAGAGTTTAAATCATTTAATAAAGTGTCAAAACAAAGGAAATAGAACTAAGCTAGAAGTAGAACTACACTAGAACTAGGGAAACCAGGAGCTTGGAACTAGAACTAAAACCATAATTATGTAGAATATATGCTTGGGACTAGAACTAAATCTAGAACTACACAAAGTACTAATAAAGAACTAGGACTACAATGTAAAACTAGAACTACATACAAACTGCAAATTTGGAACCGCCAGAACTAGAACTAAGACTAACCAAATTAACTAGAACAAAACTAAAACTATTAAAAAATAAGAGCTAGAACAAAACTAATTAAATATAGCAAAGACATGATTATAGAAAATAACTATAATTCTATTGTCAAATAGTCATTTTTCACGAGTAGTTATCAGTAATTTTTTTTCACCAATTTTTTAGGAACTATCCCTAACTATCCCTGATGGAGGCGGATCTCGACGTGCAATCAATTCCCTCTTATGAAGATCTCCTTGTCCTGGTATTCCTGGGCTAACTATCCCTGATGGAGGCGGATCTCGACGTGCAATCAATTCCCTCTTATGAAGATCTCCTTCTTGTCCTGGTATTCCTGGGCTAACTATCCCTGATGGAGGCGGATCTCGACGTGCAATCAATTCCCTCTTATGAAGATCTCCTTCTTGTCCTGGTATTCCTGGGCTAACTATCCCTGATGGAGGCGGATCTCGAGGTGCAATCAATTCCCTCTTATGAAGATCTCCTTCTTGTCCTGGTATTCCTGGGCTAACTATCCCTGATGGAGGCGGATCTCGACGTGCAATCAATTCCCTCTTATGAAGATCTCCTTCTTGTCCTGGTATTCCTGGGCTAACTATCCCTGATGGAGGCGGATCTCGACGTGCAATCAATTCTCTCTTATGAAGATCTCCTTCTTGTCCTGGTATTCCTGGGCTAACTATCCCTGATGGAGGCGGATCTCGAGGTGCAATCAATTCCCTCTTATGAAGATCTCCTTCTTGTCCTGGTATTCCTGGGCTAACTATCCCTGATGGAGGTGGATCTCGACGTGCAATCAATTCCCTCTTATGAAGATCTCCTTTATCTTGTCCTGGCATTCCATGGAGCAACGGTTTATCTGCATTTGGTATAGGGGCAGTATATACTACTGCACTGCATATTAGAGCAACAATCAGAAATATAGAGAGTGGAGACTGCATCATTTCTATCCTGAAATGACAAAGGTATTAGTATTTCATCCTTTAAATACTGTTATCTGTTAAGAATATAACCACAAGTATAATAACTGTTAATCCTTAATAATTATTTATTTAATAACTTGGCCAATAACATCTGATACTATAATCTGTAGTTGTAGTAGTGTGCATAAAGTTACCATGTATTTTTCAAGAGAATTTTAGACCTAATTTATGACATGTGATTCTTAGGTCTAATTTTCAGATTTTAGAGCAAAATTTATAAACAATCCAGTTATGATTAGAATTTTCTACACAGCATAAGTATATGTATATGTATCAGAAAAAATTATGAAAACGCAGAATTTTTTTCTAGTCATTTTTGGCAAAAATTGGCCAAAGACTGTATTATTATAGTAGAGGCCTGCTGGAACTTTGGCCCAATTTTTGAGTAACTTAAAAAATTCATTACAAATTTAATTTTGATTGGAATTGGCTTAAACATGAAATACATGTATATGCATAAGAAAAAAAAGCAGAATTTTCTCATAGCAATTTTTGATGAAATTTGGCCAATGACCCTGTACTATAATAGTACAGGGACTTTGGCCTGATTTTTATGCAAATTTAAAAGTTTACAGAGATATCACAACATAAGAACATGTAGTATGTTAACAAGAGTGGATAGATGTTAATAATGACAGAGATTTCTCTCAAGCCATATTGATGAGTTACCTTGTACTATGCATGCAGCACAAAAACAAAAGCATTTTGGTCTCTCTGATTAGATAACGGATTTTTCCTGTATTTCTGTTTGTAAATGGCATACCGTAGGGCACCTTTTTTGAGGGCTACAAATTTAGCGGATATATAATTTGCTGTATTAAACTTCACAATTTTTAATCCCAATTTGAATTTTCCACGCCCATACAATTAATTTGAGGAATTTATTTTCACAAATAGCAACAAAATCCATGAAATCTGCAAAAAAGTAGCCCTTGAAAAAAGCCACCCTACGGTATAGCATTGTCATGAAACCATGATAACAACACACACTTTAATTCTTATACCATGTATTAAGGCGGAATTCTGTGTGTAAACATTTTGTGTAGGCATGTGAAAATGTAAGTCTTGAGTTTCATAGTAACCTTTGTATTGCTGTAGTAGAACATTAATAAAAGGCAATTGTTGTTTGTCATTTCTTTTTTATATTTGTAATAAGAAGTGAGATTAGTACACGTACATGTAGCTCCTCTTATTACTGAGATTATGAAATACATGATAACCCACATCTTTGAATAATTTTGTTAATACTGGTCTCCTTGCACAATGATTATACATTCCACATTGTCATTTTTTGATGCTCAGTAAGTTTGCTCTATGTATTGAATAGTGTGGTATTAATTTAATTAATTATGCTTTATTTTAAATACTGCGTTGCTCTACGCTACCAATTATTATGTATTTTTAATTCGCCGTCCCCATGCATGTGATAAAGTATAAATCATATTTAAATAATAGCAAAGACATTATTTTGATACAGCAGCATATTATGTATTAGAAAATAAATGTAGTTTTATTGTTAAATAGTCATTTTTCATGAGCACTTATCAGCAATTATTTTTATTCACCAGATTTTTTAGGAACTACTTTGGCTGGATCAGCTTCCCCTGGAGGTGATTGACGTTCAACCAATTCTTTCTTATAAAGATGTCCTTCATCTTGTCCTGGTATTCCTGGGCTAACTACCCCTGGTGGAGGTGCTTGACGTTCAATCAATTCTCTCTTATGAAGATGTCCTTCAACTTGTCCTGATATTCCATGAAGCAACAGTTTATCTGTATGGATATGCATCTGGTATAGACCCATCTCAAGGCTAATTATCACGCACGAGCACATAATGATTAATTATTAAGCAATGCCACACCCATCGGTCAGCAAAATCGATGGTGGAACTCAATGGAGAATCACTCAAAGCAAACCTAATTCTAAGATCATTGGGCTCCAAACTGTTGCAAAACAAAGAAAACAATGGGCACCAGCTACTAAGAGTGATATATAGGTTTAGAGTTTTAGCGAAATAAACACACAGATCCAGTGATGTCAGTGGTAGATGCAGCCTCGTCAATATCTACTCATACAACAAATCTAGAGCTTATTTATTCCTTCTTACAGCTTCTCTTAATGCTTTAGTTTGTTGTTATTAGTTTGAAAGCTGGAAAGCTTGAGATCAGCATCCAGCAATACATTGCCAGTATCTCTTGCAGTGCAGCTATAGAATATATACGGTGCAATTTTATAGTCAGTGATCGCCATAATTAGCCTGCATTGGGCTGGGTCTGCATGCAGTGGATATTAGAGCCACAATCATAAATATAGAGTGGAGACTGCATCATTTCAGTCTATCCTGAAATAACAAAGGTATTAGTATTTTTATTAATGTTATCACAAAAATAATAACTGTTATCATAATAACTAGATTTTATTTAATAACTAATTGAATTTGCTTCAATAACATCTGGTACTATAATGTAGTTGTGCATTTGTATAGAGTTACCATGTATTTTTCAAGAGAATTTTAGACCTAATTTATGACATGATTTTCAGGTCTTCATTTTATAATTTTCAGATTAAGAGCAACTTTAAAAATTCATAAAAATTAATATCCAATTATGACTTTTGCCTGATTTTGAGAAATTTTAAAAATTCATAAACAATTCAATTTTGATCGAAATCAGCTCAAACTTGATATTCAACATAAATACATGTATATATATTAGAAAAATTATTAAAATGCAGAATTCTCTCCTAGCCATTTTTGACGAAATTCGGCTAACGACCCTGTACTATAGTACAGGGACTTTGGTCTGATTCTGGAGCAACTTTAAAAATTCATAAAAATCCAAACTTGATCGGAATCAGCTCAAACTTGATATACAACATAAATACATGTATATGCATTAGAAAAAATTATAAAAATGTGGAATTCTTTTTAAGCCATTTTTGACAAAATTCAGCCAACGACCCGTACTATAATAGTACAGGGACTTTTGCCCAATTTTTTAGCAACTTAAAAATTCGTAAAAAATCTAATTTTTATTGGAATCAGCTTAAACTTTCTACACAAAATAAATACATGTATATGTATCAGAAAATTATAAAAGCGAAGGTTTTTTTGCAGCCACTTTAATGTACTATATACATGCAGCAGGGTAGCATTTACTTCCCTGATTTGAGAAGTGATCTTTACTATTACTATGGTATACGGGCATAAGACTCTATTATAGTATAATAGAGTCTTATGCCCGTATAAATAGGGCCAGCATATACTACTGCAGTGAATACTAGAGCAACAATCAGAAATATAGAGAATGGAGACTGCATCATTTCTATCCTGAAATGACAAAGGTATTAGTATTTCATCCTTTAAATACTGTCATCTGTACAGCTGTTAAAATATAACCACGGACATAA